CATCCTACCGCCTGCTGAAACTCCAAAGGTCCTTGTGTGCTGTCAGGATTCAACATTTTTATAGCCACCTCGGTGTGATGCAAGATACCTTTAAATATACTTCCATATCCACCTTCTCCAATCTTGAGGGATGGATGGAAGTTACTTGTTGCTTCTTTAATCTCTGCAAAGGAAAATTCTGAGAAGCGTTGGAGCTCATGTGCGGTTGAGGCCTCCCCTTGTTTTCTCCTTAACTCCTCAGCCTCTCCCAATGCATTATCACGCTGCATTTGCATATCATCTAGTTCATCCTTGTAGCTTTGTAACATGTTCTCAGCAGATGTAATCTTCTGCTCCAACTCCTTGATCATAAGATCAGTTGATGCAATTTGATTTTCTAGCGATGATTTCTGATCTAAGGCAAGTTGGAGTTCTTCATTAACTTTGTCTGTCCATCTCTTCATATTATCAAGTTCTTCATTTGCTTTCTTTGCTTCTTCCTCTAGTTCTTTCCTCAGTTCCAGCTCTTCTTTATACAAGTTTTCAGCGGCTTTAGCCTGTCAATTGGGTGGTTCAAAAAGATTCTAATTAGAGGTTATATCGACTTGCAATTTCAGCACACCACAACACAACCTAACGTGATGCTTATCCATTAGGAGCCTGTTTGAATACAAGATTATAAGGGATTTTGATAACTTCTCTACTGAAAATAAAGAACTTTTTTTCCAATAAAGAAACTCTCAAAAGCACTTCTTACTAGTATCCAAACAAGTTCTAAATGATTTTAGCATCAGTTAAGCTTTGTTTAAGGTTAGCTCATACACCCCAATTAGATCTGATAAATGATTTACGCCACTTGGAATAATTTAAAAACAAAAAAATTGGGTAAAAACAACTATAATTAACTTTTCCACTTTATAAACATGATCATCTACACAATGCAGAAGAGCTCAACAAAAGAAAATTTACCCTGCGAATAGCATCAATGGCATCTTTTTCAGCTTTCCCACGCCTAACAGTTTCTTGATATGCATCCCTCCTAGCATTCGCAGCCTCAGCCATTGCCTGTTCAATTTGATCGTAGACAGCATCATCCATTCCTCCATCCTGCTAGTTTTCAAACACAAATTTTAGAATATTATCACAAGTTCAGACACTAAGATACTATTCATTAATGCAAATTCAGGGTGTAAGAATGCCTCTTCATCCATCACAAAAAGGAACACACATGTTACACAACAGACATAGACATTCAGATAGAGGAAAAAGTATACATACCAGAACACTAGGAGGTGATGAATGATGAAGATTCTGATTAGTCTGAGAAAGGCCATTCAAATTCAAGTCTAATACATTTTCACTGCCACCACTAATCAAATTTGGGGTCAATCCTGGTTCAACTGAGTCAGAACACACTGAGACAACTGAAGGACTCTGAGGAGTTAAAAACCCTTCTGAAGAAGAAACAGATGCATAGCTCCTCCCATGTCCATTGTTGACAGTCCTTGCTCTACGAAACAACTCTTGAGCTGGATTAGTTAGTTTTATCCAATGATTTAGCACAACAGATTGAGATCTCGAATGAGGTGAATGCCCATCTTCAGAGTTTGCCTTTTTCTGCACCAAAGGAGATACAGCTTCTACATTCCCTCTATCCAAATTGCTATCCCTGAGTTGATATGGCACTTATATCAGTACCAAAGATAATATGATCAAATTCTATTGTGAGAATAAAGCAAATTATGCTTGAAGAAAAATCAAGAAACAGGCTTTCTGAAATTATTAAATCCCTAGGCAAACTACAAAGCTTCTTTCAAAATGACATTTAGCTCCATGTGATACTATCCCTTGTACTTCAGCATCAATTCATCAGTATTCAACTATTCGTGAGGCAACATACCTTGTGTGTATAAGGAACCCCTTGCAGATAAACAGTATATGACAAGAAGCTGGAGCTTGTTCACATACATATATAGCTTTCTTAGACCTGAGGGCAGTCATTCTCCTGCAATCATGCAAATGGAAGCTCATCAAAAACATTATATTGACTTCATCATAACTGATGTAAAGGTTAAAAAAAGAAAAATTATCTGTAGACACCTTGGAGTAAAAAGACTTGAAAGAGATAGGAAGACTAAAGATAAATAATTGATAATTGAAACATAAAAAAGAGAGAAATAAACAAATAAGTAGACCTAGGTGTTTATAAATTATGAGTGTACAAATATCATTACTTAAAAAGAAAAAGTTACAAATAGTTTATGAAAAAGAAATGCTTTTTGGATAAATTTTTTTCTTAAACACTCCATTAACATTCATCATTTATCTTTATCTCTTTTCCTATCTCATCATATTACTTATATAGTACGTATATTTTTTTTTCTCCACATCATATTACTTATAGTACGTATATTTTTTTTTTCCTCTCTCTTAGACACCCCCATCAATACCTAATTTTTGTTTTTTGACACCTAAACTATCTATTAGACACTTATAAAAGAAAGAGAGACAAGAAAAAATATAACTACGACAGATAATATGATGTGATAGGAAGAGAGAGATCGAGATAAATGATAGGTACTGTTGACAGGATAAAGAAAATAGTTCCAAAAATCATTACTGAGATAAATAGTATGGCTCCAATATTGTGTTTTAGCCTCTTTGTTGCGGGCGGGCGGGGGAGACTTATAGATGGCTTCTTACCTAGAATGGTACTTATCAGATGCTGCTCCCATTACAAGTTTCTGTATGCCATACTGGGAGATGAGTTCTACAATTCCTTTTTCAATGCAATCCTTTTCAATGTATAGTTTCCCTGCCCGCACCTACATCAGAAAATTATTAGTAAAATTTAAAACAAGTCTTGAAATTAATACTGCATGTAAATAGACAGGTATGCTAGATAAATTACCCCCATCCTTTGACAGATAGAAAGATAGGCATCCATTGTCTTGTGCATGTCTTGCCTCTGATTTTCGTGGTAAGCTTGAACTTCCTGTTCTTCCAGTGCACTTGCACGAAATTTAGCACCCACTATAAATAACCAAACGAACAAGTTAAAGACCGTCATCCGAAAAAAATGAAAATTGTACGCAGCTCAGCAAAGAATTATTAGAGCTAAGTCCTTGAAATTAATTGCTAGAAATGATAAACCATAAATGTCAGATTTGACAAAAGCAGTCCAAGAAAACATTTAAGAGCAACTCCAATATAAGCAACTTAAGTCCCACTTTCTTGTCATGGAAAACTCTGATATGTGATAACAGGAGTTACTTGAAAGAGAGAGAGTTATTTCCTGAAGCAACCATTCTTTATTGAACATATTTGGAACGTTTCAGAAATAATAATGATAGAAAATTAATTTCGTATAATATTTATGTATTTACTATTGCTTTATTTTATTTTAATATCTATTTATTGTATATTTTTTCTTGTAATTTATTTTCTTTCATTATAGTGTAACTATCCTTTTTAATAAAAATTTAAATTTGGTTCATAAATGTTAGAAAAAAAATTCTAAAAGTTAAATTTCTTAAAGTTTCTTACTAGTAGAGTAAATTTGTGTTTGAGTTGCTTAATGCTGACATGACACAATAAGAACCATTTTTTTCATTTTTCAATGCATGAAGTAACTCAAATGAGTTGCTTCCATTGAAAATATCATTGATCATAGCATAGTTAAATAAATCTTTAAAATTTAAACAAAACCCAACATATTAAATTTCTAAGTTTAATTAGGTTGTGATCAGGTTGTGATCATCTTCTGGGCCATTTTTAATTCATATCACTTAGTAATTTCTAATGTAATGGCCATGATATTCATCATGGCAATATATGCACACCAAACGAGTAATTCTTGTATGAGAACAGTATGCTCATAGGCACACATAATCAATAAATAAAAAAACTAAGATTTATATAATTTTTAACAAAAAAAAATCTGAAAGTTATTAGAAAATTATCTTTAACTTTTGATTAATTGATTTTGAATTTATTTGGTAAAATCTGAAATTAAAAACATTTTTAAGAGTTTTTTTACTTGGAAATAAAGAGTATTTTTTTAATAATGAAACTTCTTAAAACACTTCTAAATTTGTATCTGAGAAGACTCTTTATTTATGAGTACTAGGGCTGTGTTCATCCAAGATATACACTAAACCAAACACCAACTTTAATTTAGGCAGGTTTTGCCTGTGTAAATTTCAAAAGAAAGAAGAAGAAAAAAAACAGTTATGTCATAAAACTATAATCTCAATCCTGCAAACACAATTGCATGCACACACACATGTTGCAAACTTACTCAAGGTCAAGGGGATCATAGGCGCTGGCACGTGAACATGAAGAATGCAAACTCTCTTTCCTCCAGAGTTCTGTATTGCCCATATCAGATTTAATTTGCTATCTTTCACATCTTTTGCCACAGCAACGTAGATTGTGTCATTAACCATACTCGGACTTGGCTCATTTAAAATTTCTCTCCTACTGGTCATGATCCCAGGAACCCCAATATCACGAAGTGAGTTCACAGAATTGACTCGTGGTGGAGTTGCAGGCATAGGACTCAGACTCGCCACAGCCATGCTAATAGATGAAAGATGGTTGAACAGATGAAGCAACCTTTGTAGTTTTTCCTTTTTTCCACTTAGAACACGGGTTTAACTGAAACTCAAAACTACCTACCTATTCAACTTTCTCCCTATTATGGCCAAAGAAATATAAAAGAATTCAACTTCACCTCTCAACAAATGAGAATTCTCTCTCTATATGTACATGATCATCAAAACTTGTTCAACCCAACAACCCAAAATAAAAAACGAATAAAAATATTAATAAATAAAATCTATTAGACTTGATCCCCAAACATTATCTCTCTATACAACTAAAGATAATTTTTCTCTTTCTCTCCAACTCTTCCCACTTGTCTGAATTAAGAGATTTCGTTACCAAAATCTCTCCATGCTGAAATGGAAATTATGGAATTCCCACTCAACAATAAAATAAAGAGAAAAAAATCAGCTTTTCTCAAGAATTAAGTAGCATGAGCGCAATATATAGGACACTCAAATTCGCACAGGCATGCAACATGGCACAAAAGTTGATAGGATGATGGAAACTAATGACACAAAAGTGATGAAATGAAAAGGAAATGGCCTTCTTTTTCTATCTGCAGGTGTTCTATCTATGTTGTCTCAGAGGAATAATGGAAAAGAGTGCGGTTGTCTTGAGCTCGTAACATGGTAGCGTACAAACAGAAGAGACACAGAAGCAATCATAAATAGCAACACAGATGAACCTAGGAAATTACAAGAACAACCCCGTGTCCCTATCCCTTTGGGCTCGTGCTCCTTCTTTCTCTTCTTCTCCCTCCATATGTGTTGCCTATGCGTGCTTCACATGAAGTTTCGAGGAAACAGATTTGCCTCACTACTTGGACTTTCAATTAATTCCAATCTTCCGGAATTATGAACGTGATACAGCATCTCTTTCAACAACAACAAAAAA